TGCGGTAGTTTTCCTTATGTTGGAATTTGTTTACACTAACGAATTACTCACTCCCAAATATAACCTTGCCTCATCCCGTTAATATTGAGTAATATTCGATATAAATCAGATGCACTGCTTCTGGAAGTTACGAGTAATGTTCATAACATCGAAATTATTTGTAAATATGCTTTTGACCGCGTCTTCACCCACGTGAAATTCAGTAGCCTACTTAATATGTTATTCTGATGTGGGTCATTCCATCGTTTCGGGTGTTACGTTCGTACACACATATTCAACAATTTCATGTATTTTGAAATAGTATTTTAATATTGTTAGTGCCTTAATCTGTCCGTTTTTAGTTGTTTTATCTTAATAATAAAGTTTGTACAGCTTAGAATGTAGGATAACGAAAATATGATTCGAAAAGTGTGCGTTTCGGGCGTTACGAGATTTTGCCTCTATGTTCTGACTGTTGCTGCATTTACTCGAAATTTAGCGAATTTTCTTAAGGAATCATACCTAAAACTTACAGGACTTCTAAAGTATGACATTTACAAACCATGTAACATACAATCACTGTTAAATAAAACGTTTTACTATTTTTTTATAATTTTTTTCTTTGTTTCGGGTGTTACAATGGTTCTGTTTCGGGTGTTACGAGTACGAAAATTCAACTCGTTTTATCGATAAAATCGGTGTTTTATTAGTCTCTAGGTACTACAAAATAAGGAGTACAACAAATAAACACAAATAGAGCGAATTCTGGTTTGAAATTACGAAGCAGCTTTTTTTAAAAAATATACAAAGTTCAAGTTTAATTTTTCCTCAGAATATAGCTTTTTCTATTGTTTTTGGCTTGAAATAGCATTACTTTAATTTCTAATTACGATATTTATTGGAAATGTCAAACATCGACACTTTTTAGCAATACCTTAATTTTAGTGTTAAGTCGACATTTCAAAAAAGTCTTAAATTGAGAAATATGACTCCTTTTCCGATGCCAGCGCTAGTGGGAGGTCAAAGGACCCTCACAGTAATACTTTTTCACTTCTCCAAGCAATATACACACATTATCGACATATAAATAAAAATGTAATACCCGAAACGTTTCGGGTGTTACAGTTTTTAATCAAGAAAGAAACATACTAAATTAGTATCATGCTCAGATATTAGTTAGTATTTGAAATCATTACTACCATGACCTTACTTTTACCAAATATTGTTACCCTAATCCATGTGTAAGGTACAATAATAAAACAAATACCTGTTTTTCTGTTTCGGGTGTTACATCGCCGAAGTAACAAGAAAACACACTTAAAACTTGATGATTATCCATTTTTTAGGGACTATGACGCTTTCTATCAATACTATGATAAATACCCTCGAATCATATACTGGCAAAACGTTTCACAGATTGATAGTTTTTTTAAAATTGTATTACCAATAATTAGAGAGAAAATGATCATTCAGACAGTTGACTTAAGTATAGACTTTGAAGACTAATAACTTAAAAATTACTTGTTTCTTTCAGATTTTTTTTGTTGCACATTATAATTTGGAATGTTTACTTTCAAAATTCATCAGATTTAATGCGAAAAGAACATATTTAGTTTTTCACCCTCGGTAACATTTGTCATGGAATGACCCATGTATCTGTCATAGTCAAAGGTCGATATACAGTCTCTTCGCGGAATGACTGGTCTATCCTAGGTTTGACCAAGGCCTTCAGGCAAACCCCGAAGTAAATTCTTATTTCGGCCTTTGACTAAGTCAAACCTAGAAGTGCCTAAACGGTTCAGTCAAACGTCGAAACTAAAATAATCTGTTTTGGGCTTTGCCTAGTCAATCCTAGAAACGAATGACAGACTCGGTCAAAAGTAGACGGCAAATAGAAAACCAGCCATGTGTGAGTCGGATTCGCTCACGAAGGGTTCCGTGCGACTCTTTTGTTGTATGGGAGCCCCCTTAAATATTTATTTTATTTTAATTTTATGATTTATTTTTAAAATGCAACTTAAATTATGTGGATATTTCTAGGGTTCACCTGTTTACGTTTTAATTAATATCAAGTAAAAAACTGCAACAAGTCACGTTTGCTGTATGGGTGCCCCCCTTAAATATTTAAGTATTTTATTGAATTATTTATTTTTTAAGTGAATGATTCATGAGATACGAGCCTCGTGACAGACAACATTTAGCGAAGTCATAATAATAGGCTCTAAACTCTTTATCCTTTAAGCAGTGTTTTTCAACCTTTTTCATGACGCGACCCCCCGACGACCGTTCGCTTTTTTTCATGCCTTTTACGAAGATGTTGTAGGGACCGAATTCTTCAATCTGTACGACATTTATGCATTTGCATAATTAGACTTCGGATAAATCTAGCTTTAAAACTTTACTGTTTTTTTACTGAGGTAGTTTTCACAACCTCTCGCGACCCCCCTATAGAGGCTTCGCGACCCCCCAGGGGGTCGCGACCCACAGGTTGAAAAACTTAAGGTAACAGAACCCTAAAAATTAGTAATTAATCAAGATCGATCTAGAAACACTGACAAGAAAACCAACCTCAGTAGGTACTGTATAAGTTTAGTTACTCGTACCTTCACCTAAAGATATAGCTGCGCGTGCGCGTGAAAACCGACCGTCGTAACGCCTATGCAATAAGTTCGAGATCAGAATTAAGTATAGTTTAGTTTAAAGTCTTAATTGGTTGGTCTTAAAAGGTTTGACTAGTCAAACCCCGATTTCATTAAATTGAGTTTCGACCTTTGCCTGACCAAATTAGTTACTCCTAGGTTTGATTAACATTATTTAGTCAAAGGCCGAAATGTTTGGGCTTTGACTAAGACTTCTAGTCACACCTGAGGATTGACTAGTCAAACCTAGGAGTGCCGGAACTTCGAGGTTTGACTATAACATATCAACAATGATACCTACTGTAAACTTTCATCAAAATTCTTTCAGTAGTTTTTGCGTGAAAGATTTTAACAAAAATAGAGACTTTCGCATTTTTATATTAGTGGGATATTAGCATATTTACTGTTTTTATTTCTGTCTGGTAATGCCATCTGCGATTCAGTTTGCCCAAAACAACATCAAAAAAAATTATAAACAGCATCAAAATAAACCAAAAAGAATCACATAACATGTCCAATCTTGCCAAAATTATCTAGATGCCCGATACCACTTTATCTGACGTCCCAAATACCTACCACTAGTATCGTGATTTTGATTTAAGGTGTGAGAATTCCCATCTTATCCTTTATAAATACAAACGGGGTTCATTCTATAGTTTCAGCCAAACGACGTCCACTGCTGGACAAAGCCTCCCCCAAGGATTTCCACAACAACCGGTCCTGCGCTGCCTTTTTTTTTTACCCAGGAAAATGGCCTATCCATACCTACCGCCGGGGGACGGCAGGTTATGTGGGGCTCGAACCCACTAAAAACCTGGGGTGTTCCCTCTGCCGCATAGTGGTCGGCGCCTTGGGTACTAGAAACGACCAAGGCGCCTTCCGCGGACGTCCCGCCCTACACGGCGGGACCCAACACGCCCCCACCTAGTGGGGGGCCGACAGGATTAGCCGGGACCACGAGGCCAATCCCGTCCGACGGCGGTGGTAGCCTGTGCAATGCAGGAGGAGGCGCCCCCGCGTCTCCAGCCTGCTGGCCGTCCTGCGCTGCCTGCATCCAGGTGCTTCCTGCGATATTCACCGAATACTTCGTAGAAATGGGAGAAGAGCTAAAAAGTAGAGCTTTTTCACAAAATAAGAGCGACTTACAAAAGCTCAGATCCTAATGATGAACTATTCGAAATACCATGTTCTTAGTTACCTTTTCCTAAAACTAACGTTGATTTGAAATAACGATGCTCGCAGAGCAGAGAGACAAACAGCGCGAGTAAAAAGTTTTACCCTATAATATTCGTGGTCAATTTCACTTCACCTGTTCTATATAAAGTTTCAGATAGTTATCTGACACATAACGCAATCGAAGTCTGCTAAATATCTCTATCTGAGACCCGTAAAACCAAAAGTTGTTTATCTCACAGATAACTTCTAATAGAGGCAGATTATCAGCAAGTGGCAAAAAAGTCCCTTTGAGAATAAATCTTCTTCTTCTTCTTCTTCTTTTTCAGCCAAATGACGTCCACTGCTGAACAAAGGCCTCCCCCAAGGTTTTCCACAATGAACGGTCCTGCGCTGCCCGCATCCAGGCTCTTCCCGCGACCTTTACCAGATCGTCGGTCCACCTAGTAGGAGGCCTGCCCACAAAAATAAATGAGAATAAATAAATTTATACAAAACATTAGTACGAAACATAAAATCCTCGTCCTCGTTGTGGATAAAAAAAATAGAAATAAACTCACAAAGCGGCGAGTGAAACGAGAGACCTATAAAAAACCATTACTTATTAATTCAGAAGGTACTGTTACTATTCGGCCACGTGTACTGTACTGTACGACATAAGCCTACAGTTAACGATGTTACTAAGTTAGGGTCACCATCTCGGTGTCTCCAGATTTTTCCTAGTTTGAAAAGCATCTTCCTGTTAGTTTCTCAAAGTATCAAAAAGAAATAAACGAAAATATGAATTAATATTTACGGAGTGAACTGTATGAAATTGAAACTTATGAGGATATCGGAGCTGGAAGCGTTAGAATCAGAACTGTATGTCATGAAGTTAAAAGTGCTAAGCCTAAATAATACGAAACTAAAAGGAGGCCGTTCTGTTAGCCAGATTCAAACAGCATTGATGGACCTTGGAAAACCTTTTAATATTAAACTGTAAAATCTCTAATTCCATGTCTATTTTATCAAGCAGCCACTATTGTGACATTCAACCTTAAATTAACAATCAAAGGTGCTTGCATAGATAGAGACAAACAGCGCAAGGCTGGCAAATCCCTAAACAAAAATAGGAAATAATGTAATTTTCAGGGAATACCTTTCATTCAATTTTAATTTGATTTTGATCCTGAAAACCACCAACCCTATTAACTATAACGGTGTTTACAGGGAGACGAGCGGCGCGGGTGGCGGGGCGGGCAGCGGAGGGCTGCTGGCCATGAACGCCACCCAGGTGCAGTGCGAGCCCCACGACTCGGTCGTACTCATTAAATGTAAGTAACGCCCACTCATTATGTCATACCACCGGTTATTAAGCTACGGCCAAATCAACGCGTGCAACTCGCGTCAGCGATGGCGATGGAGATCACTGCGCGTGTATAGGTCGCCGGTCGCCGCGACCAATGACAGAAAGCGTTGATGTGAACTCATCGCTACAAATTCATACACGACATCTGATCGCCTTAACCTTAACTTCGATCTCCTATGTTCTTCTGATCAATTTCGGTGTGGATCCAATGCCAGTTTAATTTTCCCCCGGGACAACAATCTTGACCTTCACTGGTTGGGTTTTTACTGGCGGCCAAACTATAGACGCAGCGTTGGGAAACGAGAGGTGGGAATAGTCCCGTATCTGATTGCCCGCCGTCGCGCACGCAGGCTGCACGCATTGATTTGGCCGAACCTTTAATGCTGCTAGATTGAGCACGCGGTACTTACTTTACTCCGACTAAATTCCTACGTCACACGCAAGAATGATAGTAATCGAGGAATTGATAACAGTGCTTTTTATAGTGTTGGAATAATTAAATAAACTAGTGACCTACTGTTACTATACGTATAATATAAAATCCAGCAACTTTTCAGTCAATGTTAACTGACATGCAAATCCCAACTAATATTATAAATGCGAAAGTAACTCTGTCTGTCTGTCTGTCTGTCTGTCTGTTACGCTTTCCCGCTTAAACCTCGCAACCGATTTTGATGAAATTTGGCATAGAGATAGTTTGAGTCCCGGGAAAGAACATAGGATAGTTTTTATCCCGGTTTTTGAAACAGGGACGCGCGCGATAAAGTTTTTCTGTGACAGACAAAATTCCACGCGGGCGAAGCCGCGGGCGGAAAGCTAGTAATGCAAATAAATTAAGTATCAACAAACTCCTCTAATTGCATCCTCCAAACACATTATAGCAGATTTCTTTACAACCTTTAATAATGATTTATTTGATGATAACAATACTCCTAATTAATTGTTAATGTAAACTCTACCTCACCAGATCTTTAATTTTGTAGGCAAGAAACGTAATAACAGCAAAACAACCTGCACTGTAAGTAACCACCTTTGACGCTAAGTATTTAATAATCATTAGAAAACATAATGTAGTCATAAAACACAGCACATACATAATAATTACTTACAAGCGCGCCGAAGGTTATTTTGCAATATCACAGCACTCTATAGTTGAAGCATTTAATGCCGTGTAGTTTGAGACCTATTTTGCTTAAACCACACTTAAACCTTATTCATGTTGAGCAGTAGTTTACCCGTCATAGTTTGTCCGCCATACAACTTTTACTATAAAGAACATTAAGTTCATATGTTCCATTATGTCGTGTATGTACTCGTGTGTAATCGTCTCTATGTGTGTAAACTGTAATGTTGGCTAGACTAGCGAACGTGACTTCAGCTTAGCAACAGCAGATTTCCAAAAAACAACATATTAAAATTACTCCTGTTGGGTCATATTAGAAATTCCGTTCCTAGCTAATGTCTCTTAATTTAGTTTAATGGGTCAATTACATACTTTGATATCGCAACAATTTAAAACACAAAAAAAATAATAGCACCTAAAATCGCACAGCTAAGCAGTAGCAACTACTGAAGTCCTTTAAAGATCTGATTGTTAAAATGTAATCGAGAATAGTTAGAATTCTAAGTTCTGAGAATCAAAGCCCAGCATAATCGTTTTCTGGAAACACGAAGCTAGTATTTTATCGCAAAGAATTCAGTACCTACATTTCTGACTAACATTAATACAGGATTTTCTATGTTCCTACTTCATAGTATGTGAACTATCTTGACTGCGAAATAAAATAATATTGAAGTCATTAATGCAGTTCAGTCTCTAATTAAAATTATTTATACCTTGTTGTCAAATAGAGTTTTAATTCCTGTAGCTAAAAGTCTACCAACAGGGACAATCTATACAGAGATGATAACATAATTATACATGCACAGACCAAAACATTCAGTGATGAGCAAATTGATCCACCATTCGCTAGTCTTAATGTAATCCTATGCTATTTTTGGACGATTCCACATTACCCGCGTTATGTTTACTGGCACGGTTACTTGTTTGCGTTTAATCCATCTTCGTTTTGCATCTTCTACACCAACCTAGAACTAGATTAGTCGGTCAACGCATTCGTGCTTTAATATTAAAACGAGCGATATTAAAGCTAATTGTGGCTTGTGAAGCACTTGTCTGCAAAATATTATGTTCCATCATTGTTTTTGTTATGCATCTGTCCATGATTCATTTTATAGCCTCTTATTTTTAATTTATAATGTTACGAAGTAATGCTGCTACAAATTGGACGTTCTTAATCTGGTAGAATATAAAAACCAATAAAAACGTTTCGAATTTCTTAAGTTTTTGGGGACTTATTTTTTTGTATTTACTCGCTGATCGTCTTTAAATTTAAAGCGAAAACATCTTAGCCGGCTTTGGAATTCCAAGTACTTGCAACGAACACTATTCGCAGTAGGACATTTTATAACGTTCCTGCAACTTGCCATTTCTAGAAATAGCTACAATTGCGTTTATTTCCGTCACCGAAAGTTCCCCCGTTGCGCTCTCAATTGATGCGGGAGGCGCAGGCGCACATTTACAATTAGCTTTGTTGGGGCTAATAATAATGAACAGACAAAAGCGAGTGTTGGTTATTAATTTTTTCAGTGCCGCAAGTGGATAGGCTCAGCAATTGCCGCACAGTCACCAATTTATGTTAATCCGGGTTAGTTTTGAGCGGGCTGTGCAGTGAGCTGCACGCAACAAACGATGCATTTCTTAATTCGCATTGGACATGTGACCGACTTGGATTGTTGTGACTGTGCCGGTGCAACTTTACAATGCAGTTTACGTTGGTGATCGTCGTAAACAGAGTCAAGCTATGTCCGGTTGTAGAGGAACCGGTCAAATCAATAGGTAAAGGGAAAACGTTAATATTGTACAACCTATTACCCACATTGTTCATATTTGTGTTCGTTCTTACTCTTACTCACATTTCCTGTACTCAAGTGGGAACGTGATTCATGTAAGACAAATCCGTAAACATTATTATAAGTAGAAAAGCGCTTCTTAAAAAGAAACTGGCTCAAGCCTAACTTTTCACTGGCCGGATGCTCAACGACTTTCCAAACCAGTAGCACAATGTGTGAGGCGGAAAAGTTTTCTCAGATGTTTGCTTAGAAAAGTAAAAATCAGTACTCAATAAAATAAACAGTATACTGATAATGAGAAATGTTGACTTTTATGAATTTAAACCATGTTGTTGGTAAAAGTAAATTGATACGACCAATTCGCACGTTCGTTATCGCACGAACAAATAAAACGCCGACCACGCAATATGATTTAATTCTAATTTATTATCAGAATATGAGGTCAAACAAATCGTACACAAGTAGGTAGGTGTAAGCACTTGTGTCTCGTGTGTGGCAAGAGCCATCGGAACAATATTGTAAGTGACATTCTTAACCATCTGAATAAACGTAATTGAACAATTTCTATCAACCCATTGCCCTTATCTACTCGGCGGTGCTCGTACAAATTCGACGCTACAATTGGCCGCAGCTGCTAATCATTGTTAAGAGGTTGTAAATTCAATGCAAGGAATTAGGTCTTTTTTGGAATATATTTAATTTATAACCCATAGACTAAAATTGGAACCTAAAGTTTCCATGATTATTGCTCATTGTTCGTCAAACGATGACGACTCGCTTGTTATTAAAATCGCAGGACATTATAGGCAATTCTGAAAACTGCAGTGACTATTAAACCTTTGACGTCAATAAAATTGTGTAACGTGCGAAAATGTTATATGAATAAACCCACATCCCGCACACGGCGTCTCAGGAATTGTGTCAAGCTTTATAATACTACTGTGCGGCGATTGTTCGCTTGCAACGCCCTATTTGCTGCACTGCCTGCATTCTTATCTAAAACATGTAATGTAGTCGCATGAATCATAGCATCTAGGCGGTTGAAACAATGATCGTGTGAGTGACGGGGCGCGGCCGGCGGCGGCTCAGATCTCGCCAGCTAGATCTACAGATACTGACCGACCGTAAACCAACTCTTGTTATGGACCTGCTTTTAGCTATTTACGTTTACTTATACACGTTAGGTTACTGTTCCATCTAATGAGGTTATCGGCTCCATTATTTAACGGTAATAAGTCCATAGATACACGTGCTTTATTGCTATCAGCGACATTAAAAGTGGTATCGGCCCCTTTTCATCCACAAGCCTCGTTGTTACTAACTGCAATTGAGAAACTACCGCAGACTGCGTGATCGTTCATTAGCAATGAAGTTATCGTCTCCAGGAATTCTATCTCTCATATTAATAATGATTTATGCATTCTCATTTTGCCGCTATCTAGAGCAGTGAAAGGGAGGTCAGGATGTGTTACAAGTAACAACTTAATTCCAGTAGTTGCGATAAGGGGATCTGAAAGACTGACAGAGCTGCCAAATGATACGTTAATGACGAAACCGATAATCAATAATTAGCACTTTCATTTTCTTAATATCTTGGCAAATATAAATATCGCACACAGAACAATAGTTTTTACATCTGTGCAAATGGTAGTCGGAATGCCATTAAAGAACCATGAATAGGGTCGTCAACCCTGGTCAGTTGGCCCCTGGCCTCTGCCGAGTACGATCAGCCGGAATCTTATTACAGATACCATTAGCAGTTTCATTGAGAACTCTAAGTTAGTGTGTTACGAAACACGGTGGTGTCGACACGTGATTATTGTTTTGTTAATCACTCGCGTGGTAATTCGGGAATCGTATAATTAACGTGGTACATAGTGTCAATGTTCAAGAACATAACGTCATTGAGGTGGCATCGGTGTGTGGTTTTCAAAACAGAACCTTGGTCTCGCAGAGTTACGTAACACCGTGGAATTATAATGGAAGCGTGATGGATGAATTGTGGCGTGCTCTGAAACGGAACAGTGATACGATGAAGCGTTCCAAGAAACCCGATAAAATTACTAAAATTAAAAACAAATTGATAAAGAAGCATAAAATAAGTAGGTAATTGTTTCCAGCCTCGTAATGTGTTGTTTGTTCAAATTGTTTAACACCATGTTAGAATTTGTGTTATGCTTGATAACGGAATACTTCAGATGCCTATTTACTGTTTTAATGTTAAGTTGGTGTACAAAGTCCCTGAATCGAACTTCAATAAGAAGTACATTATTATTCTGTGGTTATAGTAGGGTAAACCACCCTATTATTGGCACTTTAAGCAGCTACTTCACAAAACCGGTAAAATTTGCATGTAAAAATATGTTTTATCAAAGAAAACAACATTTATATTGGTCTTTTAATCTTTGCAGAATATTATAAAGTACTTATCATTAATAAATTAAATCATTTATTCAATATAGTGTACCTTTTAAAAAAATACCTCAAAATACCAGTTACTGGCATAGCCAAACCTTTTATTGGCAGTGATGATTACCTATTATTGGCACTGTTCTCGTAAGACTGAAAAATAGCTGCTAGGTCTTATGTAGAGGTTTTAAAGAGATTCATGATAGATTTTTTTTTTTTTTTTTTTTTTATCCACAACGAGGAAGATTAGATATAAACAAAATAAAATCCTTTGTTATAAGAAAAGTAACATTTATTTGTATAGGAACATACCATATCAGTTCAAACGCTTATATTTAAATATGGTTTTAAACTTTCCATAAACACTTTTATCAAATCTTCTTTTCTCTTCGGAAATACTTTATGCTACTGATTTTTATTTTATCCCGTCAACAAAAAGCTGTTCTTACTCGTCAGTTAAAATTGTGAACGGACCGGGCTTAGAGCGATGACCAGGATGTTTCAATCTGAATCGTATAGTAGACCGTGGTACCACTTTCAAAGCCTTTCAAAGGCCCATTCCACTAATCCCGGGGATTAGTGAACTTTCATTAATCCCCGCTAACGCCAATGGAGCTTATAATGGGGATTAATGAACTTTTTAGTTTATTTTATTTTTCTTTATTCAGAAAACTACGTTAAAAAATAAGATACTAATGTAAGAATCATGTACCTTCTATTCATTATTGGATAAGAACTCACTTATTGATTATTTTAATTATCAAATTAAATTAAATTTAAGCCTGATTACAAAGCTATTAATTGACACCATTTTTATCTTGTTACATCTTGGCCCGTATGTAATCGTTTCCATCTTCTTTTAAATGATGAATGGGGAATAACGATTCAATATCCATAGCGCTTTTGGTTTTAATCAGGTAAGTGTTAATTTTTTTAAAGTAAATTGTAATCAGTCTTAAATTTAATTTCATTTGATAATAAAAACAATAAATGAGTTCTTATCCAGTAATAAATAGAAGGTACCTGATTCTTGCATGAGTATTTTATTTTTAACGTACTGGGGATTAATTAACTTTTTAGTTCTTATTAATCCCCATCATAAACTCCATTGGCGTTAACGGGGATTAATGAACAAAAAGTTCACTAATCCCCGTTGACGGGGATTGTCAACGGGGATTAGTGGAATAAGACTTTGAAAGGCTTTGAAAGTGGCTGAAAAGATAATATTTTTTATTGGCACCTTTTTAACCAATGTTTGACACGCGTGCCAATAAATGGATTTTATATAATTGGCAGTGGGCCAACATTTGGATTGGTGTATCCAAAACGTTAAAAAATATTTTAAATTCAATTTAAACTCAATTTTGAGACAAACAAGGTATAATTTTTAACAAACTCAAATTATTTTAAATACCCTTTTATTGGCATGTGTGCCAATAAAATGGATAAATGGATTTTACGCATACCAAATGTTGGCACACCACAAATAATTAAAAGTTGGCGGTTAAATTATAAAATAATGTTTTAAAAAGGCAGTTAATATATTCAATAATAAGACAAAATGATTATGTATAGGGACAACAAAATAGATTTGCATTTTTTTAAAAGATTATGATAGCTCTTACCTTAGTAAAAAACGAATATTTCGATTGTTTTTTTCGCACAAGTCCCGGTTTGTCAAACAAATGGTTGATGCGCCGCGATGTTTAAGAAAATAAAAAACGTGTGTAGCCAGTTGAGTAATAAATGATATTACTGTACAATTTCTACTAAAAAATATAAGGTTTGGCTACAAAAAACCTTAATTTTCTTAAAAAACTGGAGCATGCCAATAAATTGGTAGAGTGCCAATGATTGGGTGGCTTACCCTATTTAAATGTTCAAAAATACTCCTTAAACTTACTAATGCCTAAAACTTCTTAACTGCGAAATGAACCTTTTGATTCCAATTTGAATGCTAGTTATCTTTCGATTTGCGCTGTCTGAAGACACAAATGTTTACATTAACCTTGAAACTGCAATGTGTTCACCAAATTTCGATTTAATTAAAAGTAGCAATACAACAACGTGGTTGGTATAAGTCGCAAAACGTGGTCGCCGAGCCGCCCACACTGTTTCGTCACTTCAAGGTCCCAGATCACTTGTGCCGGCGCTTCAGCTAAAAATAATACTTCAAAAGGTTTCGAGAGAGTGCATCGCATGCACTCCTTTATACCCGAAAATATTTATGCACTGCGTCATCGTGTTTTGCGATGCGTACGCGATTCTCTCACGCGAAATATATCTTCGGATTATTATTTCATGAATTCTTAATTGGGCTAATTCGTGGTCATCCGACCCTGCGAGCATTACTCAGATGTGCGTCTGAGTTGTTTGAACTTAAATAATGAGCAAAATATCTTCCAAAATTACGTGTTTCATATCTTTAAATATTCGGATACGTACACAAAGAGCAATGCGTCTGCTAAATGGTCTAGAAAGAAAGTCTTATCTTATGTAAATGATCAAATAGTGGTTTTAGATTTTCATACTCGATGCTTACTTCCTTTTTTTTTAATACTTAGTATTCTTAGAAAAATAATAATTATGCACCTTTGCTTTCATAACTGATTCTTTGTACAGACGACAACAAACCATGCTAAAAACTGCCATCTAATCACTGTCATAGGTGCTATTTTGCAATAAAAAATGTCGGGATACTCCGAAAAACCTTATCCGAAGTTTCAAATGTGGCCATTCATCTCACGCAAAGCGAGATACCAGCATGAGCGGTGGTGACAGATAGAACCGAAACAACGTTTCGGAGTAGTCTTGCTGATGTGTTGTTGACTATACAAAAAATTAAGACTGGGTTGCACCATCTTACTTTAACTATAACAAACATATTATATTTAAATGTTATTCTGAACTTTTTTACGTCTTATTTGAATAGTGTAATTGGTACTATCGTTCAAACTCCATTCAAAAACACCCGTTATGGTTAAGAAGTTAAGTTGCTGCAACATAAGCCAAGTTTCGCTGATTTCTAACTGTAGTTTCTCCGTGTTTTATCGTAGTTATCACCATTTCAACAGATGAGCACCGATCGGCGGGAGGCAGCTGGGAGGAGCCCGTGAGTGCTGTGAGGAACACTCCTCTTCGCCGCTCACAGAGGCTCAACTCCACCCTGGATTCCAGGTGAGCTAACATCTTCATGTTCATTCTACGTGTTCCCTCAATATATGGTCCTCTTTTTAGTTTCTATGAATCGTATTTCAAATTAGTAAGACCTAATTTTGTCTAGCTTTATCTAAAATCTGACATATGAATTTAAAAAGTTCTGCTGACAGTCTTCAGTCTAATGTCGTCGTAGAAATCAGGGCTCGAAATAGTTACCCCTTCTACCAGAATAAAATAAGAAATGTTCCTTACAGTTGTTGAAGTATCGTGATAAACGATATTCTTTTAGCTCTCTAAACTGTCAATACAAAGCATACAAAAGTTGACTGTTATTTGTAGTCTTGTCTAACAGTAGGTAATAAGTAATTTAGATGTAAAGTCAATTTCTGAATATGGTTATCTCTCGAAAGTCTTGCAACTTTACAAGTTGTTTCTGCACAGCATTGCGACTTCAAACTGACCATTGTCATCGCATCTGCGATTGTTTTATTATCCTCCGTAAATTGCACAACAACTAAGTGATTGTTTCCCCTTTGGTTAAGTCGGGAAGCCGGCAACTACTTTAGTCGTATTAGGTTGAATCGGCTTAACAACAACGCGTCGCTAAGAAACGTTGACTATGCTATGTAAAAAGTTTCTCTTGTTGACTTTTCTGCCCTCGTTCAGTGTCTTGTCTTAGTAAAAGAAAATTCTTGTTTCATACAGTGATACCTTGTATACTTATTACCAAAAAGTCCACTACTATGGTTCATTCTCATTCCAGTGGCATTAAAACTACCTAGTACGAATTCGCAAACGCAGCTGGCAATAAATAGTATTTTATTAAAACAAATAAGTGTTTGAGTGAAGACAGTCGATATATTTTTCACCCCCAACAACAACTAGTCTACGATCTTTCTACCCAATCACCATCAACTCTTATTAAGCATCCTTTTAACTGCACTCAAGTGCAGTTTAAATTGATGCAATATCGTAACTCTAGGCAAGTAAGTTACAACCAATTTAGTTAAACTAGCCGCTGTGGAGGAAGCCGTTCGTACGACAGAGCTAAGTATGATTGATGCGGTACCGAAATTAGATCCAATTCTCGCTCATAGAGGGGAGGGTTTTTAAAAAAGCAACTCACGAAATTAACTTGTCCAAATTGGAGTCGACACGTATGTGCAGACGACAGAGTTAATTATGGAAACGACAGTCGAAGCCGAAAGCAACAAATGGATAGAATAGCTGAATGGTTTGTTTATGTAGATGAAGGGACTCAAAATATCTATTATTTCTCCTTCACACATTGTGGTTTTCAAGTAAGCAATTTGGCTTATAATTATCATTAGGTCACTCAGTCTCCACTGCAGGAAGATATACAACCTTTTCTAATTTACCAGAAGCAAAAACTCCCTTCCCTTCTATACCCAAATTGTTTGCGGAGGCCTGATGTTCGCATATTTCTTTCTTAGTCTCCTCTTACGATCCAATTACTGTTTTTAAAAGGCAATTTATACGGATGACTCCTAATTCCTCTAACCAATCTGCCGACTTTTTTATTTGGATCATCGGTAGTCGGATCACTTTTTCACCCTACATGGTCCACGATTCCACGAAAGTATTGCTTAGCTTAGTTAACAGTTGGCATATGCGACTTCCTCTCTGCAGCTCTGGTGTGGTCCGCCGGACAATTAGCAGGGCCGCCGTGACAATTAACACGAATTTCCTGTGCCCGACTCGCGGAGGCAGAGGGCACTGCCTCCGGTCGTGTATTGCGTTAGGCGATAGCGATTGCAATGATGGCATCTGTTAAAGTGACAGTAACTCAAGTGTAATGTACGCTATTGGCCAGGCAAGTTCTATAAACATTCTTGTAAAAAATGTTCTAACTTTTCCTTGGACAATCTGCACGATTCAAGCATAAATCGGCGTTTACCCGTGGTCCCCCCAACATGTCCCCCTGGTGGGTCCACGGGTATTTTTTTTTACCCGTTGTCCCACCGCACAGTCTTTTAAAATCACTTGGAAGCGGACATTTTTTGGTGAATAGATGACATGATTTAACAAGTAAATCTAAGTAAATTCTTAAAAGAAACCCGTGGTCTATCTTCAACAGCTTTCGAGAAAAAAATTTTTTAATTTGGCTTATTTTGTGTGTGTTAAAATACGATTTTTGGTTTATCTGTTCTTTTGTTGAAGTTGTAACACAATTGACTTATGTGAGTAATAAAGCACACAATTTCCCTTTTTTGAGCTATACATCACATTCTAAAGCTTTGTAGATCCGGAGAAATTATAAAAAAACTGATTTTTGGTTTTTAATTTTTTAAATTTAAGTTGTACATTTTGAGCAATAACGAATTATTGCATGTTATAAAAGACCTTTTATTTTACTCACGAAAAAAAAATCACCGAATTTTGAGAACATACTTTTGAGAAATTTGCATTTGAAATTTCGTGTTATGCAACGCCTTCTGAAAAGCTCTTGGCAAACACAAACTTTCGTCATTGCTATTAAAATATTGTCTGGCGATATTGTACTGGTGAATTTAGTGCAAGGCAGGCAGTGTTTAGGGTTACTAATTTGTTCTATTACGTACTTCAGTCCGCACTGGATGGACAAATGGAGATCAAAGTTGTGATTCTCCACTACAAATGAGATTGCGTATTAGCATTGACAAAAGTTTGTTTTTGCCAAGAGTTTTTCGGAAGGCGTTGCTTAACACGAAATTTCAAATGCAAATTTCTCAAAAGTATGTTCTCAAAATTCGGTGCACCGTTCTGAACAGTGTTTGCCAGTGGGTCTACGGGTAATTTATTTTAACCATGGTCCCACCGCACTAAGTGGCAAACAATGCATGTCACCTATGTCTGGGATGAAATATCAAACGCTGAGAAGGATATGAGTGACTTTAACCCACATGTGTGATGTGAAGATAGTATAAAGATATTATAGCGCCGTACCTACCTATAATTATTTTCTATATTAATTATAGATTTTTTATAATATTATAGATACCTAGGCTAGGTGACAAGCAATGTTTGCCACTTAGTGCGGTGGGACCATGGTTAAAATAAATTACCCGTAGACCCACTGGCAAACACTGTTCAGAACGGTGGGACAACGGGTAAAAAAAATTACCCGTGGACCCACCAGGGGGACATGTTGGGGGGACCACGGGTAAACGCCGGCATAAATAAGTACACCTTTCAGTTCCTTCATCATTTCACTGATTTGAGCGGCAGTCTCAGTATGTAAGCATCCGTAAAGAGCACTATCAATAGAAATTGACACGAATAATGTATGCAATTAGTTGCATTTGTCCCACGTAATACAAACCCAACTCTGGTAGAAATGACTGCGTTTCGTTTCACGCCCTTTTGCGCTCGCAAACAAACGGTTTGCGGTCAACTTTCCACTGTTTTGGGTTTCTGTTACTAATTTATGTGGCAAGTTTAAGGTGAGACTTGCGCATACACCGTGCACGTGCGTGTCACATAACGCAAACACGTTCAACTCAAATGTTGTTACCATCCAGAACAGTACCTAAATGATTTGGAGTTACATAATTTATGCAGTGTATTATTATTATTTGGGTAACATGATTTTGACTGAGTCTTAAATCCTTATCGCATATTTTCTTCCGTAATCACGTCATTTCAAAAACATAATCATTATCCAAATAGGCGCAGCAACGACACTCGAGTACGAAGTGCAGATAAAAAATAATGTCAAGGTTCAACTAAAGCGGTGATTTGCATGTGTGCCACGGCATAAACTCCTCGGTCAGGCTCTGCTGCATTCAAATATTAATTAAAGCCCCTATTGTCAGGATTTACCTCGCACAAGTCATATGCAAGGCACCCATTGCCACTAAAACGAACATTTTGTGGGTTTAAACTGACACACTTGCCTACACACGGCCAGTAAAACTTCAAATTTATATCGCACTGCATAGATGTTCCTATGTTTATTCCATTGTTGTGAACTGGCATTTTTATAATACTTTAAACAGGCCGTAAGTTCTTTTGAAAACGGCCACTTTATCAGCTAGTGGTAGGATTATCCATATTTCAAACCGTTCGTCGAAAACAGTCTGGCAAACAATTCTGGATTCTTTTACTGGGAAAAGTTGAATTCCCACGCGTCTCAATAAAATGTTGAAAATGTTCAAGAGGAGTGTTGTCAAAACAACTCAGGTAAAATGAATGATGATAACGCCTTCGCTTCCACTTCAACAAATTGAAAAGTATTTTTACACTTTCGCTCATGTTAGCCTTGTATTTGTATAATATGTATTTGTTTAATGTTTTGCACATGCATTTCCTTTCGATGAGTTTTACAATCGGTACTAATTTGTCGAATTCTCTCTGATCTTACGTTAGTGTTAAATGCTGATCCTAGCTACAAAAAAGTAGGAACAAGAGACGAACATACTAGTTCATTAGTAGGAGTTAATCTCTAGTTAGGAGATGATCTTATTTTAGAAATTGATCTCGTGTTATGATTAACGTGAGTCACTAATGAGAAAATGCCTTGTATCATTATCGTACTAATTATTACTACTTGTACATAATATTATTATTTCTTTCTTGTAACGGACCCAATTATTTTTCTGCGTACAAAAATAGTACAACAAACCAGTCTTGTAATAGAACAGCTAGATACCCAATCTGAAACGGGATTCATTAACAACGATTGTTTTGTCATTGAGTACAGTTTTTATTTATCTAATTGGGGTTAAATGCCTGTTAGCTTTACAACGTATGATGGACGAATGTAGGAAATTACTTTTTACCACTCGCGTGTTTTATTGTTTTACTAATAGTCTCCATTATCCGTGGAACGGGATGGTGATCTTACGGGACCTCCATTTATTTTTCGTATTTTTATCCGACTGCAAAAAGAACGATATTGTTATCGAGTATGTTTATGTAGCTTTGAAGGACTTTAACGTGGGAGGCGTCTTGTCGCCTCTTGAGTGTCTGCCTTTTCAGTAAATTTGGTTTCAGTCGACGATTTTATTTGTATATTGTATGTTTAATTGCTAATTATTAAATTACTTGTTCAGATGAAGGATCACGCAAATAACAGTTTGAAACTGAGGGTTCAAGTCAGACAAAGATTGTTGATTTGGTGCTCTACAATCTACTCTCTTCTGTTGTCATTTTTTTTGGAAATGAAGTCAATGGCGATATCATTGCTAAAACATTGCAAGACTGTTTTTTAATTTTTACCCATACTCGTATACAATCGCGTGAACAACCCTAGTTACTTGCAGACTTTATAGTTCGGCGCTTATAGGTCATGACATAGTTTATACACTACACTTTCATATCAATCTTATAGTCTTACAATTTATTACCTATATTTGGTTCATATTGCTTTGGTCGAATGATATCATCCATAGCACAAAATACTAGTGTCCCACATGTTCAAGTAGACTCAGTAGATTTCTTATCTACATCAATATTTCTCAGCCTATTTTCTCATTTAAAGGCAACTACAATAAACTAGATAACGTCCTTGATTGATCAGTTTCTGTTTGTATTGGCTCCAATTGGCTACATTTGTTCTAGCCGTTTGGGTATGCTAAAGAACATGGTTCAGAACAAAGTTTCGAAATACGACCTTCGATTGCTCGATTCGGTAACTATTCACGCCCGGCGGTATATCAAACGCTTCGAACGGTAATGTAATATTCACAGCTACCTTATTTTAGAAGCAATGCTATAAAGTTACGTTCACGTAATGTCTTGCCTGTTTTGGTACAGTCATATTTATGGACGAGTTTTCGAACTAATGCACCGAAAAGTTACATCTGGTACCGTATCATGAGTTGAGAATAGCACAATCTCTCGGAAGTTTTTTGTTTCATATCATCTTCATAATATTTTGTAAGATTGTTTGACTTGGAGGAGGCGTTTGTCCGACAATGGACTTCATTTGGCTGCAACGAAATGAAGTTTGATTGTAATTAAGTATGTGGGACTCTAGGACACCTGCACTGCACTTATCTAAAAATATTCTTTAACTTTTTCAAAGCTACAGTCGACAGCATATCAGACTACGTTTTTGTTACAAATCGAATATATTGCAACTACATCAAGTTTCACACAACATACCTACTATAAATTCACTCAGGAAAAGCCGCGGGCAGATGCTAGCAATTCATTATCACGCGAGCAAACTGTTGCTTATGATGTTCCTAATTACTTGCCCAGTGAAGCAAAGGCGATCTCGTAGTTGCATTCGTATAAGAACTTTATGTAACGTTGCAAAATCAATTGTTACGACTATCGCATTCTTTTGTTTTGTTTGTTTTTGTTTAATTACTACCGCAAATTGCATAATTGGACACAATGGTGATTAACAGTAGCCGCTCTCGTGTGACAAGCTATGACACTAGTTATCTAAACTACCAGAACGTTCTGGTGATTAGTTTCTGTCTAAGCAACAAATGAATATACATTTTGAGTTCCGGAATTAATAAATATACCACTTTTTGTGATTTAAATACATTCTTTCAGCTAAATGTACCGAATAAAATGTGGAAAACACTGATGATATTGACAAGTACAAGTAATTTACAAGAAAATGGTTTTGTGTTTCATTTTTCAATTATTTGAAATCGAATTAAATTTCAATTTACTAGGTACAACTTAATTTATTAATAATGAATAACAATTGTATAACTAAAACGGTAATCGAATTTCTCAGTACATTTTTCAGTTCTAGCTTAAAAAAAATACAGTTACAGTTAAAAGTTCAAATTAATATGTTTAATTGTGTTTGTTTGACTTAAATAGATAGATGAGAATGCAGATAGAGTTAATGATCACTTGACGGCACATACAATAACCCAAATCATCCGATAATCTCAGCTTCAATAATAATCATCATCATTTAAGCCATAGGACGTCCACAGCTGAATATGGCCTATATTCAGCTGTGGACGTCCTATGGCTGAAATGATTTCCATGTCGATCGATCGAGCTTCAATAATGATTCCTCAAAATAATTGTTACTACATATTAGGCATTAGCAGAAGTAATTGGTGCTAAATACTCAACAATGACAGTTATTGCAGATTGATATTTATAGGGCCTCGTATTACACAACACAATAGAATAGCGACGAAAACAACAATATGATTGCAAACGCCATGTTCACATTGTTCAAGATTGGTACACGAGTTACTGTTTTTAATCAGTGTATTGTATGGTAAGGTCTCCGATTTGATCCCCGGGTCAGGCCAGCTTGACTTTTGTAACCATAGCTTGGTTCCACGATCAAGAATGGTGATTATGCCAATTAGGTATTTGCCTTTTGGTCAGAAAGTCCTTTGTGGATCTCGTTGCACAAGGGAGTAACGATATGGAAATTTCTTATTAGGCAATTATTTATGGATGGGTGTATCGGACACTCTCTTTGGCCTATTTCGCGGCGAAAGTCGGTTGTATTTTGAGGCAAGCTGCATATTGTGTTTAGGTTCTTTTAGCATTTGTTAAACATAACGAAAGTACACGTAGGTATCTCCGTATGTCTGATATTATATTTTCAATTGGTATAGAGATAGATGGGACCTAAATCCTATCCAAAAGGTAGCTTCTTTTACGTACGTTCATGACTCTGTGCAGAGATTAAGAGATAAGTAGTGGTAGCTCTGAAGGCAAATATTAGTTTACCTACGTAAGAACTAGACCAACAGACTCCCAACTAGTATTGGTGTTAAAGTGCAAACAGATAATAACAGCAAATTAGATAAGAATCGAGGTTTGAGCGTTGTTTCAGAATAGTTAAAACATTAGCATATCAAGACATTGATCCTTACTTTAAATATGTGATTCACATGTTGTTTATATAAATTATTGTCATTGGAATGTATAATGAAATATGCTGAAAAACTTCATCGAGAAATTGAAAAAACTTCTCGAAGATAAAAACACTCAAAGTAGTCTTAAACAGAGCTACCGAACGATGATGACAGTAAACTGCGCACTGCATTATTTATAAGCCATGAAAAACTGGCCTTGGAATTAATAGGCGATTGTTCCAACGAAGCCGCGAAAGATACGGCTAGAAAAACTGGCAAATCCCCCGAGCACCGTAACCGATACCCGACTATAAAATTGCATTACGCTGATTGTTTCACGCCGTGAGGCAACCACTCATATAATATTTTACAATTTATCGCAATACCAGATGAGATCCAACACGCCGAGACAGTAAGAACATGCGTGTGCTTATTAACATCATTGCAGCAATCACATCTCAGTATCAACCTTCATATTGTTTAGCGTTTTGTCAATCTAATTGCTCCATTGTTGTTTTATTAATATTGATCCAACGCTCGATTGTGGTCGATTTGATTTTGTAATTACGGCCATAAAACAAATCTAATCGAATAACTGTAATAAATATGTTTCCATTTCATTGATTGTCCAAATTCATCGACACGGTTAAATAATAAAACTATTAAATGAATAGTTATCTAACAGCCCCAGTTTTAAGTTTCACCGATTATTACGTTGTTTTCTATCGTTTAATTGAGCTTCTTCCGCGTTTAGCTTAATTGCCGACATCCTACCGATATCATGGGCAATTAATACAAACTGATACAAACTAACCTATCTCCATTACGTAATCGATTGGATCAAGTTAAAGGGCAAATTGATGTGAAAAAGCATCACAAGTAGATACTTTAATTATAATATACTTTTAGTATTTTCTGGTCCACTCTTGTATGGTTTTCGCCTACTCTATCGTCGATTTTCTCAAGGACATAAATAAAACTCCCAGAGGCTAGTTATAGAGATCGATATTCGACCAAAATTCTCAAATAGCTGCCTATTCTTGTTGAAAATGTAATCCTCATCGTCATCATCATCCTTTAGTCTAGAAGCCTATTTGCTGCCTGCTAGTAGCCGTTAAGTAGTTGTCCAAAGCCTTTCTACTCATAGTAGATCACACTTCAACTCCAACTTACCCACGCTGCGTCTTTTTCATTAGTTCATAGTCCCTACTGGAGAACCTTCCTCCGCAGATGATCCCCATTATGCTTCCCAAAACTTCGAATGTTTGAGACGACGTTCGACGTTTACGCATTTGATGTCGACTACATAAAAAAGTGACATTAAATGTATGACGGATTGTACAGCGCCCCTAGCGGAAACATTCAAGAACTTCATGTATTTTTTTAACGCGCTCTCTAGTAACGACGTTTGATGTAAACTCGCACTAAGCCCCCTGAACAACTTTACGATCTGCAGCAGATAATGTACTTTAAACAATAAAGTTTAGATAAAAATTTAGATCCCTAATCGCCCTTTGTTTTCAGGAGCACTGGCCAGTTGCGCAACACGCTCAGTCGCGCCCGTGAGCTATGCGAGCGCTGGCGCAGCGGCGGTGCGACGCCGACGCCGCCCGCCCAGCCGCCCGACGACGAGGGCGGGGGGCGGCTGGCGCGCTGGTTCAGCGTGCGGCGCGGCTCGGCGCATCACTACGACATGCACACGCACGAGTCGGACAAGATGCCAAAGCTGCCGGAGGTAAGCATGATGACGTGATGTTGAAGTTCTGGTCAAGTGTTGATAAAGATGGAGGCTGGCTAAATAGAGAACAGATTCTCTCTTCATGACTTCTTTGGTATAGTTTGAGACTATTTTGAATTTTGGCAGTAAGAATAAATATAGAGTTACTAAGAAGAACACAATTTAGACAAATTGGAGAAACTTAAGCTGCCAGCGGTAGTTTTAAGCAAGAATACTTGGCCTGGTTTGACTTAATATTGCCAAAAAAGACGAGGACTTTTTGGTCAGATAATTCAGCTCGAAAAAGGGTAAGTCTTGTTAATCATCAGGGCTGATCTGGTCTGGCGATTTACTGCTGGTCTACTTGAACTTGTCTTATAGGCATTATCGGCAACAAATAGACGATGACGAATTTAAAGGAAAATTTAGATGTTTTGCTTATAATCAGGTAGCAAAAACATGAAGTTACCAGGCATGATGCTGATGGTACAAATTCTGAAGCTCTAGTGCAGTGTTCGTTATAGTTCATTGCCTCTAATGTTACAATTAACGTATAAAGCCCTTAGAGCCAACAAGTCTAGTGTTCGCCAGACTAGCAGACTCCTGGCAAAGGTTCGCGTGCATCACCCGATGCATGAAGCAATCAGATACAAAACATCGCCCTAGAGTAAATGAGTTAAACAAGCAATTTGATGACTAACAATGATGATTCCTGAACCAGAGAATAGCCAATTAGACCTTATAAATGCACACTATTAACATTGCAAAATGTTTCTATTATCCAGGTTTTTACAAGCTAAGTTATAAACAAAGGTTCCCACGACTGATTTTGTCATTAATTCCATTTGTATGATCTCATAAAATTGATTCCTACACTTATAAGTGCATGCATCTTTGTCTAGATTCCATATGTGTTAAAGATTGTTAATTGCTTATGCCTGTTACAATCAGTCGATTGAAATATCGACGTATTTGGATCTTAAATTCAATAGATAAAGAAATTACTTGTGTCTCCTTAAAAGCAAACGATATTCCTTTTTTAATGCAATTATTTCCTTTTGGATAATATTAAAAAGAAAAAAAGCTGTTAGTAGGAAAATTCACAAACATTGTAAATAGTAGAATTCTCGCATTGTTCGAAACAGAAGTCCATAACAATCTATATCAATGAAGCGGACGCTGTGGTCATAAACAATTGGTCATTGACTCCCAGTGCTCACAATTTCTGGAATTAAACGACTCTTTTCATTGGCCTATCCTTATGCTACACTACCATTATAATATCTACAGTTTAATAAGGACAGTCCACATGATTCATAATATATTTTAGATGAATCATCGTCCAGCCATTGAGCAGTCACTCAACAACAAACCGCAGTAACGCGTCGCACGTAGTTTCTATATACACCTCCTCGGAGGTCTCAAGTCGTTATACAAATAATCGGTTTAGACATGTGATAATGATGTCAGATTGGTATCCAGTGATCCACCATCGCGGGTTCATGTACACAATTGTAATATTTTTTTGCGTTTCAGTGTACATTTACTGTGTGTGAGAGATAAACGTGTGTTTCGTTAATGTGAAGTTATTTCAATGTCAAAATGTTTTGCGTGAAGCTCCTTCACGACAAGGCACACTATGTACTGTCGGAGTACGATGTAAGTCGGTGTGTGAGATGATTGTGTTATAATTTTGGGTCGTTGTTCCGGTTTTTGGTGTTCACCCGCGCCATATGACGCGCGCTCGATTCGTTAAAACTATTTATACGATTTACGCGAGGTTTCCGTTGACGCAACACACGTTGAGTGAATCCGTTATTAGTTACTGTGGTGCGTTTCGATGTTGTTTAGTGTTGTGCAGTGTAACTTAAGTGATGGTGTTTTCAGTTGGAGGAGGATTTGTTCTCGTGCGGCGGGGAGGTGCGCGGAGGGCGGGTGCCGCCGCCGTCTCTTGGTCTGCCGCCGGACTGCCTCACGCCGGTCCAGCTACGCCGGCGACACGTGGTCGCCGCTATCATACACAGCGAGAACTCCTATGTGGCCACGCTGCAGAGGCTCGTCAACGTTAGTATGATCTTCTTTATCCCATTAACGCCCGCCGTACAATAAATAGTACACAATTTTAAGTTACGATAAATCTGGTTTAGTGAGTATTTTTACCCTGGAAATAATTACAATCGGTAAACAAAGGTCTATGCATTATATCCTGAGATGAAACAGACCATAATTATACAATCTTAAGGGGGTATTTTGCGATTTCGTTTCAGTGATTTTTTCATGTCTGCTAGTGGGTACTTGATATTTTTTTATGCTAGGTTTATGTTACACAAAATACCAAATAAGTTGTTTGTGTATTAGCTAACAACATATCCTAATAAAAAATACATAGAAAAGTTCATTTCATGGAAAGTTTTTCATGCTATAACTCCCAAAGTGATGCTGTACAAACTTTAGTACAATGGGCGCTTGACACGTTACGTAAAATAGTACGGTAACGACATTATTATTAGAGTGTTTACTTATTTCTTAATAGTTTTTATATGTAATCATTGTTTTCTTTTTCCAATAACATGGCTCTTTATTTATGGGGTTACAGACAACAAAAAGAAACATTTTGTTTCCCCAATTACGACCTACTCGTACTCGTATTTGTCGACCTAAAGAGACTTAGTTACATAGTTTTTGGAACCACACGTGAAAACAGAACCAAAAGGTATCCTTTGATTACTTATAAAGATTTTCACAAAAAGCCTAGAGACAGATTCGACAAGGCAAACGTAATTTTATTAGCATTGATTGAAAGATAATAATGTGGGTACCATTGAAACAAATGTTGACGCTTTAGAACCATTGGGAAATGTCATTATATGGGGTCTCTTGATAAAAAAAAAGTAGAGTTAGGAACCACAGGGTGTCCAGCTCTAGTATAATAAGAAGATCAGTGGGTTAGATTAGATGACTAGTCTATAGAACTTTACCAAATTGAGGAAAAAGGAAAAAAAGCGGTGGATGGGTCTTATTAGCTTATATGGTGGACATGACAATTTCAAATGCATGCAGACTGCACTGCATAGTAAACCCACAATAGTCGCTTAGATCAGCTAGCATTCCGCAAATATATAGTACGCACATATTTGACCTATAAAAGATAAATAAAAGTAGATAGTCTTGCTCTAGTTGATGGAGAAGAAATATGAAATAATGGTTATAATCAAAATAAACCAGCAAACAAGCTGATTTGATAGCTTAAAATTACTGTGTGTTTCAATAGAGTCAAAACAGCTTATGGCAAGTGCCTGAAAACACTGTGCCAGGATAAAGAAGGCTTTGCTCAATATGACTCATAAGCGCCCATTGTACTAAACTTAGTACACCCCTGAAAACCTAACTTCTGATTTTGATTTTGGTTTTCTTTGTGTTTAGTATTATTTCTGAAGTATTTTTATAAAGAAAATAAACATTGGCTATGGGAAATTGACCGTAGTTTTCATTTGGGCGTTAATGGGTTATTAAAACTAACTAGAAACTGAACTTTGATTTGGGGTGCTATTTCGAACCATGCGTCAGACTTCACTGCAATGTACGTTTAATGACTGATGTATTTCTATGAAAAGTATAGTTAGCGATACTTATTATCACCGACATCAGCCCAATTTGGAATAGTACCTACTTTTATCGTTAAAATCCAAGTTCACTTGTCGTACTGGCATTTCACGATTCCTATTGATAACTGACTATTGATAGTTGTCTATGGTCCAAATGTCAGTTGACAGATCAAATTAAAAGCTCAAGGATAAGAGACGCATGCGCAATAACCATAGAGAGACAGGTGACTGGTCAAGCGTCACCCACGCAACCGCTGCATGCGATGTAAACAAAGACCAGCTAGTTTAAGAGCGAATATCTATGTTATTAAGAGATGGCACGATGCTGGTTTCTTATGTAGTTGTGATAGAGGTTATTTTGCAACAAAGTTATTAAATATTATGTGATGAAAACTGTGCATAGAATAACGTCTCATTACAAGTAGACGGGCACGAAACACTGGTATCTTTTGTAGTTGTGATAGAGGTTATTTTGTAGTAAACTTATTTAGTATTATGTTAGTGACTGTACATAGAATAAACTCGTAATAGTGACGTACTCATCTGTACGCTGATTAAACTGAACTCAAAAGCAGGAAAGGATAGCACTTGTGCAATTACAACGAATTATAATTATTCTGAATCACAAAATTATAACAATGCCGGGTTTTAACAACAGGTTTAACTGTAACGTAGCTTAAGTAGTTATTTTCGGTGAATAAAACGCCGGTTGCCACATAGACAAAATTAAAATTGCGACAGACAAATTAAATTAATTTAAATTGATAATTGCCTTGTACAATACACGCCAAGCCAGACGACGTTAGTAGTAAAGTACATAAAACATTATAACCGGAAAACCATAAAACATTAAAAGCTTAGAAATAATCAAGTAAATGAGTAATAGAGGCACTAACCACAATAAAAACCGCAAACAGGGAATGGCTTTAATGGACATTCCCTATTTTGCGCCATTCGGTTCTTCGTACAATAAGTAACGCCCGTATTCACAAACATTACTATGAGGTCTCACAGTGCCCGTGGACGCACAGGGTGACACACGAACCAATCACAGAGCTCTATTCAACGCTGTGCGTTCGATTTGCTGCTTCACTTAAGCACGTATCGTTTGTGAATACGGGGTTAAGTCACAAAACTTAAATAGGTCTAGCTAGCGCATAACTCAGTGAGTGCCTGAAGTATGGGAGCGGCACGTGATGGGTGACATAAACGATAAATGCTGAGCGGGTGCCTATTGGCACAGTTTTTTCTCACCTTTACCTCTTTGTTTTAATACCTACCTACTATATGTGTTTTTGTTGATTTTTTTCTGTATTGTGTTTTTATTTATTGTGTCAATAAACCATTTCTATTCTTTTCTATTCTATTCTATACATTGACATACATATTAAGACGAGACAGAGCATACATCTCAAGTCTCGCTGAAACATCTCGTCTCAAAAACACCCTCCCGCGCCGCTTCCAAACTCAGGCACTGAGATAAGTGCTAGACTAGATAGTATGATGTATTGTAATAATAATAATTTTATTCTGGGACAGTTATTTATTGTTATAAACACTTCACTGATATGAGTTTTAATTCTTGCGAAATACATTATTGTGGAGTCCAAAGTCCGCAGAATTATTTACATTACATTCTCATTTTTGCTACATTGTTTATATTCATTTTACATTTGAAATGCAATCATTGACCCTACGAGTTTGTAGTGGGGTTGTCACAACCACAAAATAAATAATATAGAATTACTACTTTAAGGGCTGATTTTTCAATCATCAGATATCTTGTAACTAATGAATAAACTTGTCATTTCGACATATTTCCCATACTGAAACTGTCAATCTGCCAAACTTATTCTTCAGATAAAAGTTATCCGACGTTTGAAAAATCAGCCCTAAATTTAATAAATCACTGAAATATACGTATTTTTATTACTATTAACTATAAGCTTTAATTACTATGTACCTGGCTGGCGTGTTAATGTTATACATATACAAGTATTCCGACTAATAAATAAAAATAGATAACGATATTAAATGTTATTGTAATTCAATATTGCGGAATTTAGAAATACAATCATCAATTCAACATGTACGATGAAGACATTATCAGTCCACGCATTTCTAATGAATAGTCAATAAACTTTTCCTCCTCAGAAATTGGTTTAGGCATGCTTAATTTTCCGTAGTCAACTAACTGAATAATTACCAATTTAAAAGCAATTACGGGCTTTACCAATAATAATTAATTGTCGGCTTACGATAGCGCCGAAAGCTGTTTTCTATGCTAATCACATTAATTTTGCGCAGTATAAAAAATATAAATACAAGCTGTTTTTTTAGAAGCGATCAAACGAGAGAAGGGTTGTAGTAGAACTAATCAAATACAACAACTTTTCCTGCAATAATAATAACCAAATTCTTAAAAAATACACAAACGTCCATGCTAAATGACTGATTGCTGATGGAAATTTGTATGAAAAGGTATTTTTTTTAAATTTTATTTTCTTTCCTGGGGGAAAAGTGGCTGGGTTGCATTTGAGCAGTAGAATCAATCCGTATTGTTAGATCACCTTTAAAAAAAACAACCTGTACTTGAGTTGCCTTTCATATTAAATAATAAAAAATATTGACAACATATTTCCATGCACACAGTCAACCAAAATTAGCAACAACTGTTTAGTAATCCTTGAAAGTGCTGTCAGCCCTAAAGCAAACCTTTGCCTGTTTATAATAAGGCAAAACAAATGCCAGTCGAGTGATGAACCCGTCTATCCTGGTTCACGTGGTCACATCAGAGAATTCATTGTCTAACATAAAAGATGCCATGCCATACGTTAGTCATAGTCATGCATACCATACTCTCTACATGATGCGTGCCTTTCCATATTTGTGCGGCGTAATAAACGATGGCCGGTTTCTTTTGCTTGTTTAACATGCAAGTATTTGCTACGGGAACTTTTAAGACTAGTGTTTTCCCGTGACTTGCCTGTGTAGATTTTCTGCGACAGAAAGTTATTAAAGTGACAATCCCTTGATTTAAAACGCTTTGTTACCAAAGGTATTTTATATGATTTTTTTTTCCCCAACATCAAAATAATAATGACGTCTCTAAGAAATTTTGTCCCCTAAAGATTTAGTTTGCGACATGCTCTTCTCTTAGGTCCCATATTTTAACTCTGTAATAATTTTCACCAAAATTGCTTGAGCGGTCTAAAACTGAAAACGCGATAGACTGACTGTAACTTATTTTAATATTAGTATGGATGCAGTGGCAAAAGAAAAATGACTGACAGTTTTCTTGTCGACCGATGATTCTGCTACATTTTGCTGCTCGACAATTTCATCATTATATCCCATAACTGATTTAACAACATAATCTTCTGTATCCACAGAAAGTAACCATCAAAGAAATGTTGACACTTCCTGGAATTACATAAATCACACTCACCAACATCAATC